AAATTTTCCAATTAATATAACATATTCACTAATCAGAATGTTAAGTGTTTTCGTGATTATTCTAGAAAAAAATTTCTCATCTGAAATATGACAAAATAGATAACAAAACTGCCTTCCCAAAATGGAATTTTGGAAGAGACTATAGATATAGTCCAAGGGTTTTGTAAATCTAAATAATGCTAGATTTGAAAGCAAGCTCAAGAAATCCATTGGTGGATTAAAGGAAGCATTGCATGTAGGATTGAAATATGTTTTCTCATGAAGTCAATAAAAGGTTTGGCTTATTGAGAAACATAGAAATTCTTTTAGATAAGAAATTTAGTGGGAGCAAGAGTCAATTTTGTAAGGTCCAATAAGAAGATTATTACGAACTCTATTGTAAAATGACTATCAAATGCTAAATGATTATATTTGAAAGTATTTTTCAATGATGGACCAAGCTAAGGAAATACTTAGTACATAGCGGGAATTAAGATCTATTGGATAGACTTAATAAGATGTTTGAACGAGTAAAGGAATTTACCGTGTTAAACATGGACTTGAAAAGGCTTTCAACCCATGTGTATAAGACTAAGTAAATGTTTGAACTAAGTATAAGCTAGGCAAATACTTAGTCAAACACGGAAGACTCTAGTAGAGACTTTCAACCGTATCATATAGCAAGCAGTTTAGCAAGACTCGGCGAAACTAGATGAGCTAAAATTCACATGAATGGGTTCTACAATATGGAATCGTCACATGACTTGCATGCTTAGAGCATGACAAGTATAAAGCACAAATCGACTTGAACCTAAGTAATGGATCGTTAGATTATGATCAAGAACATCCAAAGTACTTGATTAAGTAAGTGGATGAACTCTTGATGCACGGAAACAAATATAATTAAGTATTGATGTTGTGAGCACAACCTTAGCAAGGATCAGATCCTTAATGAGGAAGCCATTTATAAGCACGAGGTTAGACACATCGTGGCTTGAGAATGGCAACATGAACTTTTGTCCATGTATATTGTGCGAAAATTTAAGGTAAATTTCCATGGTCACAAATGAATAGGGCATCCCAAATCATTGTGAACTGGTTGGAGTAAAATCCAAGCAAAGCATCATTAGAATATCTACTAAAATATATGTTGAAAACATTGTTGCCTTAAAGGCAATAAAAGGGATGTTGTTCAATGGATAGTTCGTTGTTGAACTTTGATGATTGTAGGTTGCCAAGTTAAAGATCTCAAATCATGAAAATGAGTGGGAGCCATCACTTGGATGATAAATCCTAAATCACATATAATCCATAACACACTCGAATCTTATTATCTTATTATGATAGTGTTCGATAATGGAGATGCTAATATTTGCAAAGTAATGATAGCTAAAACTGTGCAATAAGTGAACCACAACATTCACAATTGCACAAAAGAATCAGGCATATTAGATATGGGTGTGATTTCTATAACTGTTTTGTAAAGAGTATTACTTTTGAAACATTTGGGAAAACCATTTTTCATAAGATGAAACGTTCAAAAGTTTCATAGTGGAATCCATATGCTCATTAATATTATTCCATAATCATTTAATTGTGGTTTAGAATTAAATGGTAAGTCCCTTCGATTTGACGATATTCAAAATATGGTATCAAGACAATGTGTTGGATAAAGAAACACCTATTAAGTGAACATTGAATATCATATCGAAATAACCCCAAATCAAGGTCATTTGAAGAATTGGACGACTAAACCATGTGAGAATAGTGTTTAGTATAATTTATAGCACTGTTTCTTGTGCTACAAGGACAAGAATGTCGTAAATCATTTGCACAAGTATCAATTTAGAACTACACCGAATCGACCTATGAGAATACTTTAAGAGATTTAATAATCCTCATAAGTATATTACTCATTATGGCTATCGGTAACACTTTCCTTGACCATGAGTATTGTAAGTTCTCTTATTTGAGTACTAATCCGTTTTATTGTTGACAAACGTCTTCCGTACAAGGGGATTATAAAGGCAACACTTAGGCAGCTAGGATTCTTAGTAAGGGAAGCTTGACAATGCAAGACTGAAAATGTCCTCCTATTAACAATAGGAAACATTTCTTTGTTGTTTAAAAGGCCTTGACAGTCGAAGAGTGAGACTGTGAAAATGCATGGTCGTGCTCAGATGGATTTTAGAAATGATCTGTACTTGACAGTCGAACTCGAAATATCGAGAAACACTTCTGGACGTAATAAGGATAACGATAAATATTACCTTATAGTTCATGAAGAGGCATTAAGTGACAAAGGAAAAATGCAACACACATACAGCACACTTGTCCGGAAGGCCAAGAGGGAGACTGAAAGGAATGGTGTCCTTCGAACAAGTGTATTATTCCGATAGAGGGTTCCGATTAGAAAAGCTAATTATTTAGTGAAGTCAAGTGATCAAAATGCCTAGTTGGAGGCCGCTTTCGATCAGATAGATTAATATATTAATCTTATAGCTTGCTCTTAACTGAACCCTACGGGTCACACCCAGTCGTGTAACCGAACAAAGGCAACGAATTAATCCGAAGGATTAAATAAGTCGATAAGGATTTTACAAATTCTGACGTCGGATTTCGAGCTTAAAGCGTTGAAGTCGAGCGTCGCAAGTTAAGACGATTCTAGGAATCACGAGACGAGATGAATAATCAAATGACACATCGTGCTAAAATTATAAGCATAGCACGAGGCCTAGTCTTGCCTCGTTGTGGGGCAAGGGACTAGGGCCGCAAGCACTAGGCCATCGTGCCACAACAACCAATGCAAGAACCAGTAAGGCTGACCTTGCTTGCGGGCTGGCTGGGGGCAGCCTAGTGCCCTGCACACCAAAATAGCCCTAGCTGGGCCTGCCTAGCAACGCCAGCAAGTGGTTGGCGCTTGCGGTGCTACTGCTAGGCCTACGCTGCTGCTGCTGGGCTTGCGTAATGCCCGTGGGCCTGCAGTTGGCAGCGTGGGCTTACGGCAAAGGCTATAAGGCCTAGCCTTGTGGCGCAAGGCTACTAGCAAGGCTGGGCTGCTGCCCTTATTGCCCAAGAAAGTGGGGCAGCCCCTTACCTTGTTCTCCAAGGCCAAGGTGGTCCTCCCACCTACCCTCTCTTGTGTGTTGACACTTGTCATTTGATTATTTTTTTTCAAACACTTATCATTTGATTATTGTTCATGCTATTTAATTTATTTAGAATTAAATTAATTTCTTATTTTCTCACATTACCAACTCTCCCACATGGAAAGATGATTGAAGTTTTTGGGAATGTTTTGCCTATAAACACATCTTTGGGAGTTGGGAATTTATCAATTTGAGTAGAACTCAATAAAGCATCTCCCTAAAGCGTGAGAAAATCTTTTAAGTTCGTAAAACTCCAATTTTAGCACGGTCTCGTCTAAGCTATGAGATAAGTGTCGTGTTTGGGCGGGTGGGTGTGCGAAGTAGGAGGATTCGCGCGTGCATGTCTTGAGCTTTCCGGGGGTCGTGCTCGGGTTCGTATGAAGCACGCTACGAGGGTAAGAATGTATTTTCCCTTCTTTCTCTCTCTCCCTCTTTATGTGTTTATCGCTTTATTAATTGCATGTTTGTTTGTTTAGTTGTATTAATTATGCATGAGGTCCGGACGGGTTTTGGTTCCGCACGGTGCTCACGCATCGTAAAACCCAACAAAAACAGAAATTTTGAACTGAATATATCCGACCCGAATAGACCCTACCCAAACTCCATCCGGTTATCCAAATTGACACCTCTAATCACAGTTAACAACTACATTTTTCCGAACACGCCCTTATTGTAGAAGTAAGTTGCAATTTAAATAATATTGCAACTTAAAATCACAAATAAGTTGGGAGCCTTATACTTTGTGGTCGAAAAACATTTGTGAATAATTTTTTAAAACATTCTGCACAGGCTTGTTAAATTTAAAAATATATTGATTTTTTCATATTTGTTACTCCCTTCGTTTTTAAATACTTGCTCCATTTCTCCATACACGGAGTTTTAGGAGAAATTGGAGAAAGTAATAAAATATGGTGGAAGAATAAAAAATTGTAAAAAGCAAAAGTAGTTGAGAGAATTAGAGGAAAGAGAATATAAAATTAATAAATTATGATTTATGTTGGGTCCACTAGATGAGAGAAATGAATTAAATATTGTAAAAACTTTCTAAATAAGAAAATGAAGCAAGTATTTTTAAACGACCGCAAATGAAAAGTAGAGCAAATATAAAAATGGAGGGAGTACTTCTTTCACAAATCCTGACTTTGGGAGCCCCATAACTTAGTGCCTAGAAAACATTTTCGAATAATTTTTTCACCTAAATTGGTTTTTGAAACGTTCTACATAGGCGTGGCTAATAAAAAATATTAGCTTTTTTTTTATATATGTTGCTCTCTACAAAAATCCCGGTGTTCAAAACCCCATAACTTTGTGCCTAAAATATATTTTTTGAATAATTTTTTCATTTTAAAATTTATTGATTTTTTTATATATGTTGCTTATACATGTTGCTTCTTGTACAATTCCCGACATTTGGAGCCCCATAACTTGTCTGGAAAACATTTTCGAATAACTTTTTCACCTTAATTGGTTGTATCGAAAAAAATTAAATTAATGAAATAGAAAACTGATAGATCACTCTCGTTATTGTAACTTCACGCCTGATATGCCTTTAGATCTTATTCTAATTTTTTCGAATTAATTGAATAGGATTTGAAATAGAGCTAAGAACAATAGATTGAAATTGTACATTAAAGTTATTTGTCCAATCATTTTAGGGTCGTCTGGTGTCAAAATTTGATCAAATTGTTTTCTTGGGTCATCAAATTCGTAACCCTGAATAATAGGTCCGTATTTATAGATTGAAATCAGGGACCATAAAAAATTAGGAGGGTGCATCGTGACTTGTGTGTAAACTTGCAAGCAAGTGAGACAAGATAGTACTAGTACAATTGACAATGTAAATGGATGGTGTTATTTTCTAAGTAGATGCGTAATGCCATAAAATTACTATAAAGTGGGACAAAAAATACTGACTTATCAACAATTCAGATATCACTACTCTTACTACAGTAGTTTCCACCATGGAGCAGATTCAGCACAAACATGTACAAGTTGGGAGTCTAAAGCTTCACATAGCAGAGATCGGAACAGGTTTATTCATACAGAAAAGATGAATAAACTTAATTTAATACTGATAATCTTCAAATTTCTGAAGATTTTAGTGGCTCATAATTTCATATAATCTGCAGGTCACAAAGTAGTGCTTTTCCTGCATGGTTTTCCAGAAATTTGGTACTCATGGAGGCACCAAATGGTGGCTGTTGCTGAGGCTGGATATCGCGCAATTGCCATTGATTTTAGAGGTTACGGTATGTCTGATCAGCCACCTGAGCCTGAAAAGACAACCTTAACTGACTTTGTCGAGGATGTCGTAGGTGTAATCGACTCTTTGAGAATTGAAAAGGTAACATTTTCTTTTTGTTACCGATTTGCACTTGCTCAAATGGCTGATACAGGGAAATCATTTTCCTGCAATTTGTCGTTTTTACTACCTGAAATATTAGGTTCAAGATACATGCTTTCCAACTCTTCCTCACAATAGAACTCATAACTTCATCAAGTACTTTTCTCCAAAAAGATGCCACATTTGAGAATAATTTCAATGGATAAACTTTCCTAACCTGCAAATTGAGGCCAAACTTAGAGGGTCAGAAGAGATTTGAACTTTTGATCTTGTTTCTGTATTATTTGTAAAATCTCTGAAGTGCAGGCCTTTTAATTCAGTTCATCTGCGAATAAATCTAGAAGCTGAATACGGTGAGAGTATTCTAATGATATTCATATGGAGCAGGTTTTCCTAGTGGGGAAGGACTTTGGAGCTATCATAGTGAGTCTAGTATCCGTACTCCACCCTGAACGATTGTCTGGCTTCATAACCTTAGGAGTTCCTTTCATGCTACCCGGGCTGACTGCTGTCAATTCAGATCATTTTCCTAAAGGATTCTACATCATACGGTGGAAGGTAACTAATCTATTCATGTAGCAAATAACAACCACCCTCTCCTTAATTATGTGACCAAACATCTAGTTATTTCTTTAACAGGAGCCAGGCAGGGCAGAGGCAGATTTTGGTAGGTTTGACGTTAAGACAGTGATAAGATATATCTACATACTGTTTTCAGGGAGCGAGCTTCCATTAGCTGGAGATGATCAGGAAATACTGGACCTTGTTGCTCCAAGCACTCCACTACCCCCCTGGTTCTCTGAACAAGACCTTTCGACTTATGCAAGATTGTATGAAAATTCTGGATTCCGTACAGCCCTGCAAGTTCCATATAGGTAAATATTAAATATGCATAAACCAAAGTTTACCCCTGGTCCTCTGCAGAGGCCTTTCGACTTATGCAAGATTGTATGAAAATTCTAAATTCCTTACACCCCTGCCTGTTGCATATAGGTAGATATGCATAACCCTTAAAATTATACAACAAATGAACAGAATCTATTTAATGATAGATTGAACAGATATGAAGAACACTGAAAGGTTGTAGTATATTTAGCTCTACACTTGTTCAAAAGCATCATACTAGTTTTGTGTTTGAATGTAGGAGCATGTACCAAAGTATTGATATTCCAAATCCACAAGTCAAAGCTCCAGCACTGCTTATCATGGGCGCAAAAGATTATGTCTTAAAATTCCCAGGCATGGAGGAAAACATAAAAAGCGGAGCAATCAAGAAGAGTGTGCCTGACCTGGAGATTGTCTTCATGCCAGAAGGAAGCCATTTTGTTCAAGAACAGTTGCCCGACAAGGTTAATGAACTCCTCATATCCTTCATCAACAAACATACCACCCAGTAGAATAATTTGTTTTACAGAAGATATACTATATGTACTGTGATGCTGTGCTCAGTAAGAGCTGTAGTACTTTTCATTTGGTTTTGATGTTGAACTGTAATAATTCAGTTATTCCGAAAGACTTGACCAGCTTATAATTCAGTAAGCGATGAGATTAGAGAAACATACTGATATGATCTGAGATAGCTTTTTCCAGCAATAAAGACTTGTATTCCATGATGAATCACTTATTCATGAAAAGCGTATATACCGCAGTCACCTAATCATTCCACAACACAAATAATTAAGCATTACAAATCTATCCTATACTATTAATGTCGATTTTTTTTGTTCAGAAATAATTCTTCACCTAAATCAACCATAATGTACCACCACATACTTAGGCATTCCAACTCAAATGAAGAGGGTACCTGATGCAAGTCTTAGCATGGAGAACTTCGAAGAATTGCTTATCATGCATCAAGATAGCTTGTCTCTAAACATTGATTCAAGTCAACCATTGCATGGACACTTTCTTGGATACCAAAGCAAAGCTACGGTTTGCTTGGTAGCGTTTCTTGGAGTCTAAGCTAGTTTCTTTAATTTTCTTACTTAGATTTTGCTTACAAGTTTTTACCTTTCACTTGAAAGGGTTTATCTTGATTCAAGCATTAGGATCTTTAAGCTTTTAATTAGTTTCTTTAAATTAGGAGTTAGTTAAATTCGTTTCTTTAATTAGTTTAATTAGGCGTGTAATTAAGAGCTTGGTGAGCAAGCTTGATTAAGATAGGATTTGGTTTGTCTTAGGAAACTAAGCAAATCTTATCCTAGGGCTAGGTAGAGTTCTAGTTGGATTAGATATCTAATCAAATTATATCTTAATTGATTAGTTATGTATACCGTGTGTACTAAGCTTGCGGTTCAAGGCTGGCTTCCTTGTTCTCCAAGTTGGTTTAGAAGTCTAGTTTGCTTAGGATTGAATTAGGGAATTATCCTAGTCTTCCTAGGAGAGTCTAGTCTATAAATAAGGCTTGTAAGCACACAAAATTATCAGATTATTATAGCATTGTTTGAGTTTTAACAATTGAGTTTAATTGATGGATTTCAATTGCTGTTTTGCTTGTTTTAGTTAAAACATTCGTTTAGGTTTATTAATTAGGTGGATTCTTAGTTAATTAATCTAGTTTCTTGTTTAATTCTTGGTGGATTTTCCTGTATAGAATTAAGCTTGATTCATATCCTTGTGCGTTTTAGTTTTAGGATTAAAATTCACATCATCTTGGTATCAAATTCCAGGTTACGGTAGAAAATAAACTGGTAACGTTTGGCTGGGAATTTTTGAGTGATTCTTTTTGCATTAGTCTCTAAAAACGTCTAGCTATCACCATATAAAATTTCGTAGCTTTTGGTTGAGTAACGAACTCTGTACAGCCTTAAACTTTTGGTGTTGTTGCACTGGGTTGTGGTTGGGAGTCCGGTTTTTGTTTGCTTCAAGATTCCTTCAAGATTTGATCTTTTAATCAAGATTTTTGCATAAACTAACTTGTTTTGTGTAGGAATAATGAGTGACGAAGAGGTTCCACAAGTTCCAAGGGGTTTAACCTTAGAACAAGCTCAAAATCTTAGAAGAGATAGGCAAATCACCGAGTTGGCAACAAGGTTGGAGGAGGTATTGAAGAGACTTGATACTCGTGATGGATCTTCTTCAAAGAGGGGTGATTCTAACCCTAACTCTAGTTCAAGTGAGGAAGAACAATCAAGAAGAAACCCTAGGAGGTCACGTAAGAGCCATTCATCAAGTGATGATTCACCTAGACCTAGGAGAAGGAATAGACCAAAAGATGATGATAGAAACCTTAGGTTAGACCTTCCCGAATTCAATGGGAGTATGAATGAACCAAAGAAGTATATTAAATGGATTAGAAGGACAGAAACACTCTTTGATTACAAGGAGTATGATGAGAGAAAGAGGTGTAAAAATGCGGAGTTGAAGCTCACTGGTTATGCTAGTGTTTGGTATGATAATTTGAAGAAGAGGCATAAGCAAGGGCGAGACAAAATCACAACTTGGGAGCAACTCAAGAAGCACATGAAAAAGAGGTTCGTTCCTAGTGATTATATTCAAGATATCTATCTTAAGATGCAAACTTTTAAGCAAACTTCCTTGAATGTTGAGAAATATATTGTTGAATTTGAGAAGTTATGCATGCTATGTGGTTTAGAAGAAATTGTTGAGCATATGATAGCTCGTTTTATTTTGGGATTGAATGATAATATTGCGGAAAGGGTTGAATTGCAACAATATTGGTCCTTTGAAGATGTTCGTAAAGTGGCTATAAAGGTTGAAAAACAACTAAAGGGGAAGAAGAGCTCATTCACTAAACCATTTACAAAAGGATTCTTGAGTTTGGGTTGTTTCAGTTATTTAAAATGCTTGGATGTTCTTTCTTTTTTTTTTTTTTTTTTTTTTTGGCTATCAAATATTATTTCAATAATAAATAGTCCATGAGTACATAAGGAGATAATTCATGGGATAATGGTTCACCCACATTTGCTCTACCCCAAATGGAACAAGCCTAGCTAAGTGGTGTGCGACAAAGTTGCCCTCCTGCTTAATATGAGACCACGACACCGAATTAAAGTGAACAATGCTCCACATTGCTACTCTTAAGATATCTAAAATAACAATAATCCTAACGGGCTACAGACAGATTTGTAATAATTTTCAGCAATCTGGCTTCATATCTATACCACAGAATACTCACAATATTTACGCAGCTGTGCAGGTTGATTAGAGAAAAGAGTGACATTAAGCTCTGGATATCTTCTCCTATCTTCTTCTCTTGTAGTCACGAAGCACTTCTTCTCGATCAAAAGGAGCAGCAGATATCACCCACCTACTGAATTCCATTATTGTCATACCCATGAATTGCGCAATTAGACTAAACTGTCTCTTTTTATTTTCTCTGGAATAAAGCTTCTTATCTGACACACTACTCGGTTGTTTAACTCTAATAGGACGGATATGAAGATCCTTCAGATCAACAGTGGGAGCCGCTTGGTCTGTTTTACTGACTCTCATTCCAGGTCCAAAGTTAACTATATCTTCATTGCGATGAGAATATAAGATACCTGCAAAGCAGATAAACTCGTACTTAATTATTTGCATAGTAAGTATAGAGTAAGCATCCAAGCATGGACAAATGCCATGCAAATTTCCCAACCAAGATGGGTAAGACAACTAGGATATATCACCAAGGGTATGTTCAATATTTGCTGCAATGTGGAAGAAAATAGTATATTTCCTTGAAACGTTGCATTAATTTTGAAACTTTACATGGTAAATGCGAATATTTTTGGAGTGAGGAAAGTAAATATTTACCAATAATGCATCTTCTTTCTACAATGCCACTAATTCCACATCCACAATAGGCACACTTATAGTTTTGAGTGTCTTCAGTTACAATGACCACTGTTATAAGTTTAATTATGTTTATATCTCGTGCTGAAGATAGCAACATTTATGATCTCAGAAATTAAAATCACCAGTTCCATGTTTAGAACACTAGAGGGCAATTTCTTCACAAGACGAAGAAACTAGGTGAGGCTTATGAGGAAAACAAAATATACCTGAAACCACTAAACTTGGCTACTCATGTAATTAAGGTATCTTACAGCTAGTTAGTACTAACAGATACAGTAGTTGAATTTGTTGACCAAAAATTAAAGAATGCAAGTTTGCAGGCTTCTGATAGGTCAGATCACTCCAAAATTTTATTTTCTGCATCTACATAGCAGAAGTGGAAGCATTAACAACTACTCATAGTTGAATATATGGGTCTTCTCACAGGTAGAGGTTTGACAATGACAGGGTTCATGTTCAAATTTTTAAGCCAAGTTAGTATTCTTAGTAATGCTTATTTTTCAAGGCAAATCACGCATTCAGATGGATCAAATAAGATGCAAAAGTAGAAGCAATAACAACTATCATTCATAAATGAATCCAGGAGTCTTTTATCTTATCTAGTAGAGGTTTAACAATGAGAAATGGTTTAAGTTCAAAGTTCAGTTAGATATGCTTATGGAGTTGTCCGAGCCGAACCTGCTCGAGACTCGGCTTGGTCAAAGCTTGGTATAGGCTCAGCTCAAGTGGGTTCGACTCGAACTCGAGTTTAGCTTGAGATCATAATGAGCCAAGCCTGAGCTATTCGGCTCGAAAGCTCGTGATAAGCTCGAGCTTTTTGCATATTATTACTTCCTCCATTTTTTATTAGACGCATCACTTTTGAATTGCGGACTCCTAGGCAATTTTTGGAGTAGAGAGACATAGAGAAAAAAAATAAAGAGGACTTATGTGATATGAGAGAGAATTTATTGACTAAAAGGGAAAATGATGCATCTAAATTGAAATTTCCATATATAAAAAGTGATGCATCTAATAAAAAACGGAGGAAGTAATTTTTCTTGTAATAAATCAATTAGTAACATATACTTTGTTTCATATTTAGAACTTAGGAACTAAAATAAATTTTCAAATTTGTAGTTTGTATTCTCGCTGAGTGTTGAGCTTTCGTTCATGGTTTTTATTATTGTTTATGCTGAAGAACCAACAAAAAGAGAAAGAAAATAGTACCACAACAAAAGATAGGAGCAAGCGATAGAATATATAGGAATTACAAAAGAAAAATTTGATTGTCTTTAGAACAATAGCTATGGGCACCATTTGGGCTTTGCTAATTTTGGGCTTGACAAGCCTTGAGGAGCCGAGCTTACATTTAGGAGTAATTTTTCGTAGGCTCGGTCTCGGCTACACGCCCCTACTTATAGTAAATAGTTTATTTACCTAGAATCGTGAGTAGAGGGGTACTTCGACAGAGTCTCTGGCTAGGTTGTTTATTCTCAATGCATAACCAGTTATTAAACTTGCAAGAATCTCACCCTCATATTCTTGTGTTTAAAGTCCACTCTCCTATTTCCTATTTCATCAAGACAAACTTTGGTTCCCAACTTTCCGCCAAAGCTCATGGGCTTAAGATAAATGGTGTCTCCAGGTGGGTATAATGGCAAATACCCTAGAGATCAAGACTTGAATTCTTTTTTTGGGTGTGGGGTGTTAAAGAGGATCAATTCAGCCATCAAAATTTTGAGAGCAAACTAATTTGGGCTCAGTAGAGGAATCCTAGTATTGTGAGGGTAGTGAAGCCAAGCCTGAGGCATAGACTGGTCTTTGGAGCCAAAGAAGAGGTGGTTAGGGGCTTAAGGGTGTGGGCTTTGCAGTTGAGGAAGTTCTCATACCCTACACAATCATGCTCATAAACTACTTCTGATCATGATATTTCTGCTTTCACTTCAGTCAATTCTAATTGAAACTGCATCTGACAACAAAAAAATATAGGTAAAAGAATGGTTCACCAAACACTGAAGTAACTAGCATCAATGTGAGAGGCGAGGCCAGTGAAAGGGAAGTTATGTAGAATAGCTTCTTCTAGTTGACAGCTGCTCCAGATTTATACACTTCTTTCTTAATTAGAGCAGGGGGGAAGAATCTAGCAACAATTTGTTAATCAAAAAAGACAGCTAGCCTCTCATATATGGATAGAAGGAGAGAAATGCTTTTGTGCACCGTATGCTTTGGAGAAGTTTAGAGGAAAAGATATGTAGAAAGAAATCTTTTACCAAAGGTACTTTCATGACTTCCATTGGCCAATTTTTGAAAGAAAGGCAGCTTGCGAAAGATAGTATTTCCTACCTCTATAGATTTTTACAGTAGTTTTCTGGTTTTCAATCAGACACAAGAAGATCATCTTAAAATTGGGGTACACAATTCTTTCATTTAGTATATAGGTGGGTAGCCATTATATAAAATTTACAAAACCTAAGACTACAATTTGTTTCAATAGGGATAGTATGTATATAACATATATCTATGGAATAAATTTACAAAAATTGTAAAAGAAGACTTACCCAATTCCTCAAGCAGTGGCTTTGCTGTAGTGCTCTCTGAGATACCTGGTTTTTTCACCCTACATTCAGATAGAGATGATTCACCTGCTTCTGTCGGTTGGACAAAATGCTCCCCTAGATTATTCACACTCTCTTGAACCATAGTTTCGTGTCCATGCTTTTCATGCTCCTCAATGATCTCACTGGTGAATAACTTGTCAGAAAGATCTCGAAAGAGATTACCTATTCCAAAAAGCTCACCTTGAAATTGTTTGTGGTCCTGAAGGAAAAAGCAATAAACCAATTGAGCTTTCAGCTAGAGAGAGGTTAGAACTAAAGAAGATTCTGTAAAACTACAAGTTAATGTGAATCTTTTTCCACCTGAACACCTTCAAAATACCGCTTTTCCATCTTTCCAGAAACAGCAATGTTTGATAACTGCTGTTTGTATACTTGGCGAGTATACACAAGTTCCTCAAGAGAACCAGCAGCGATAAGGCGGAAAACAACAACATGCCTCTTCTGGCCCAAACGAAATGATCTGTCTTGGGCCTGCAGGTCATGTGATGGATTCCAATTAGGATCAAATATCACTACTCGGTTAGCGCTAACTAGATTAAGCCCAAGTCCACCAGCTCGAGTAGACACAAGGAACACCTGCAAGGATATTTAGCAGATTAATATCGCTCAACAATATTTAGCTCTTGCAGGGCAGAATTTTCAGTTCATACTACTACCTGCTTGCTTGGACTTGAGTTGAAATCATTAACAAGAGACTGGCGCAGCCCAGTCGGTGTAGAGCCATCAAGTCTTAAAAAGCAATAACCTTTCCGTGTAAGAAACTTTTCCAAGATATCTAGCATCCTGCCAATTTGATATAATGTAAGAACAGAACAGACACCGCATTAGATATAAATCACATTATTCTTCTAACTTTAGTGTATCACGATTCCAGCAACAAAAACCATATCAGTAGCGTCTCATTCAATATAATCCCACTGTGAGCTAGGTCTGTTCAAGCAACTTTAACATCACCAGTCAATAAGAACATAATAAGGTTTTGTAACACATAGTATTAATTATCCCAGAAAGCAATACAAATTAATTTTAAACTTTCATGTCTTCCATATGTTACTAAATACGTAGTACACTCCAATACGCAGAACTAGTATGAATTTGTAATGTGCTAGGTGGGAGAATTGTAATATGTTTGAGGTTTTTCTGTAATACGATTATTTAGGGTCATAATACGATATGAATAATACACCCTAATAAATATAATTTTTTTTTACTAATATAAAAATTTGGGAGAATGGGCATGAAAGGCTTAGATCTGGAGTTCATGGAGGGGAATATTAGGTAACCCTGAAAATTAAAAAAAAAAAAAAAAAAAATTTAAAAAAGAAAAAAATTCCCCTGTTGTTGCTCTATTCTTACTCTCCACCACCCGTCCTCATTAAATCCTATATCTCTGATATCACAATACCACGAATACGCTGAGTTGGGGTATTAACACACAAAAATATTGAGTATTGGGACAAAAGTATTAATACGGAACTGGGGAGGAGGGGGAGTATTAGGTAACCCTTCATATACAATTCGAATTATATAGAATCATTTCGTACTGTTTTTTTTCAAGGTCTATCATGAAACAAAATCATTTCTCATCAACCTTTTATCATAAAATGATTATAACATACAATTATAATCTATGGAAATACAACCAAATACCAGGGAAACCTAAGAGCACTTCCAGTTAGTAAAAAGGCAGAATTAAACTAAAAGAGACTCCAAGGATCAATATTGTGATGCAACTAAGGCTACTTTTTAGAGCCATCTGATTAAAAAATTTAGCAACAAAAAAACAAATGACAAGCAAGATATTGAGCAAGATATTGGATCCAACCTAACGGAATGACTGAACAAAAGAACTTTGTCGCCATGTGAAAGCCAAGAAGCCATAAATCTTTCAAGGACTCTCATTTTCCCACAATCCTTGGCCTCACTAAGGCCCATAAAGCTTTCGTTTTGAGCGCTTCCACCTACCAAATCAATATCAATACCATAAACTTCTTTAGCCAAATCAGCATCTTTCTTTTGTTTGTCCAGGTCATCTTTTGGGTTTGGTTTGATAAGCTCGAGATGATTGCTAATCTGTCATATAATTCACAAAACTCTTCAGAATCAATTACAAGCAACCAAAATATTCTAGGTGATTTGGTTATCAAACGTCAAGATGAAATATTACTAATCTGCAGAGGTTATAATGTATAAACAATTTTGAAACTGCTAAACTGATCAAGTACTCGGAGCTTTTAAGAACATTAAGAATAAGGAGGATTTGAAGTGATTACGGTTAGCATACTGCAGACAATGCCGTATAAATAAGCAATCAATATCAAATTCTTAGCATCTGGAAGCTGGTAGCCAGGTAGTAGTAAAACATTAAGGTGGTATATGGCTTGGAGTGCTGGCTGTGTTGCTTCTACTTAGTTTGAAAATGTAATGTATTGAATAAACAAGAGAAGTACCTCCATAGAAGGACTTAATACTTTAATGTCATTTATACGGAGAATATAGTTTATATTAATGACAATCTTCATAATCCAATGTAGTACTACCTCCGTTTTCCTAAGTCTTAATCACTTTCCGTTTTCATCCGTTTTTTCTAATTTCTACTCACTTTTACTTTATTTCTTTTATGACAACTTTTTATTCACTTTTTATCATCCACAACCCCACTTTGTGGAGCCCAATTTTGTTTAATAAATCTCTTACTATATATCTCTCTCCTCTTTAATACAAAAATACCCACATGCATGGTCTCCATTTTTACTTTTCCTTGTTTTGCATATCTACAGTGAGTAAGATTCAACAAAACGGAGGTAGTATAAAGTGATAAGTTAATTCCACCCTACCATCTTAGCTAACCATTACTCATTACTCTCCACATAAGCATATATTAACTAATAAGCATCTAGTTTTGAAACGGCATACAAAATCTTTGAATTTTTCCCTTTTTTCGTTTCATTAATCAAGCAATGAAAAATACAAAGCAAACACTTCAGCAGCATTCCTAGTTTTAGACAGTAGTGCTTCCTTATAATTTCAACTTCATATAGCCAGAAATCCACTTGTACATATATCTCAGAAAAGTTCCCAATTTTGTGTGACTTCAATACTTCCAAATTCCAATATTTTACATCTGATCCTTGGATAAATTCAAGCCTTCTCTTGAAAATAAATGATAAGACCAACTAAAAACAAGCTATAAGTCACAAGAACCCTGAGAAATTTTATATTAATAGCTAGGCTGGAGTGTCATCAAAACCCAGACGTCCGATGAGTAGTCTACACTTGAAAAATCACATCAAATAAACTTTTATGAGTACCTGGGTTTGGAGGCGCATTTTCTAAGATACTTCTCTAGACCACCAAATTTTTTGACAAAGAAAAGGAATCCTTAATAACTGTATTCAACTGGAGAAAGGTATTAGATAAAAAAGAGATAAAGGAAAGATATGTACTTCTGGTTTGAATGTTAGTGTTTTATGCAAAAGTATGCTATAGACTCAATACTCAGACTTGCTTGAATGTAACAGTAACTTGCAAATAGAAGCAGGCTTGGGATATTTGATTGATATTTGTAAATAACGGCTACAATGAAAGCTAAGGTCTAAGCTAAAAGCTTGACTCTTGGAGAATACTACGGCTACTACTACTCTACTAATAACATCAACAATCACATAAACCATACTATTGCATTGCTATCCTTTTTATACCAAGCCCTCCCTCATTACAAAGGACCCTAACAATTAATAATATTTGTCATGTACTGCTGTAGAGGCCTTCAGAAATTCAGAACAGTTGCCACACTCCTTAGTGGTGCATTAATCGATTTTGTACTGTTCTTGCTCCTTGTTTGCTGTTGCTGGCTGCTCTGTTGTTGGCTGCTCTTGTTCCCTGTCTTTGCCTTGCTGCTGTTTCTTTCTCCTCTCATAGACCTGTATGGCTTGAGGTGGGTTAACCCAATTCATTGCATTACTCCCTTCCCAGACATTCACCTTGTCCTCAAGGTGGAAGTGAGGAAAGCGTTGATCCATTGCATCAAACTCCTCCCAAGTTGCTTCAAATTCTGGTAACCCCTTCCATTTTACCAACACTTCAACCTTCCACTCCGCCTCCTTTTTGCCTCAATTCCAAAATTTTCTCAGGCTCAACAACGAGCTCCAAGTCAACCGTCAGTTGGCTGGGTAAGGTGGGTAGCACTGGGAAGTCTCCCACAGCCTGCTTCAATTGTGAAACGTGAAAAATTGGATGGATTTTGCTCTCCTTGGGTAAATTCAGATGGTATGTCAACTTGCCGATTTGCTGGAGTACTTCAAATGGGCCATAATAATGAGCTGCCAACTTCTCAAAAGGTCGCTTGGCCAGCAATCTTTGCCTATACGGCTGCAGCTTAAGGAAGACCATATCTCCCACCTCAAACTGCACATCCCTTCTCTTGCCATCTGCTGAGCTCGGTTAAGGTTCATCTTCAGCTCATCTAAAATCAGATCACGTTCCTTCAGACTCTCTTCCAAACTCTCCACTACCGTAGCTTGCTCTTTCACCTTCCATAACTTCGGAGGGTCTTGCCCATACACAACCTTGAAAGGGGTCATTTTAGTTGCTGTATGGTGTGAAGTGTTGTAAGAGAATTCAGCCCACAGAAGCCATTAAGCCCAAGACTTAGGCTGATTGGTCACAAAGCAACGGAGGTAAGTCTCCACACTTGTTCACTACCTTGGTTTGACCATCCGTTTGAGGATGATAGGCGGTACTACGCTTGAGGTGTGTTCCTTGAAGGCAAAACAGTTCCTTCTAAAAATTGCTCATGAATACCTTATCTCGATCTGAGACAACTGAAAGTGGAAAACCATGCAACTTAACCACCTCCTTAACAAACATGTCAGCCACCATCAATGCGGTAAAGGGGTGCCTAAGGCCAACAAAGTGGCTGTATTTTGACAGTCGATCAACCACAACTAAAATCGAATCCACCCCTTTCGAGAGAGGTAACCCCTCAATGAAATCCATTGAAATCTCTCCCCAAATTGCGTCAGGTACCGGTAAAGGATGTAACAAACCCGCTGCCCCTTGCTGTGAAGTCTTACTCCTTTGGCATACCCCAAATTGACGCACATACTCCCCCACCTTCTTCCTCATTCCGGGCGAAAACCAATCCGCCGCAATCTTCAAGTATGTTTTCACCTCTCCTTCATGCCCCCCTGCTGGAGTATCATGATTTTCACAAAGAAGTACAGGGATGAATTTCAACCCCTTAGGCAATACCACTCACCCTTCATACAGCACTCGATTTCCCTCTAAGAAAAATCCCTTCTGCCATGTGTCACGAAGCCCATTCAGCCATGGGTATTCTGAAATTTCACTCTCCAACTCAGCCGAATCCACCATTTGTGTCGAAATTAAGGCCCCAAATTGAATCCTACTGCTATCCTTACGGGAAAGAGCATCCGCTACCTTGTTGGACGGCCTGGGTTTGTATTGAATTTCGAAATCCATGCCCATCAATTTTCTCATCCACTTTTGGTACTCCCTTCCGACCTCACGTTGTTGGGTGAGAAACCTCAAGCTTTGTTGATCGGTCCTTATGACAAAGTGCCTTCCAAGTAAATAATGCCGCCACTTCATAACCGATAAGCTAATAGCCATCAACTCTTTTTCATAAATGGACTTGGCTTGATTTCTCACTCCAAGTAGCTTGCTAAAGTAAGCTACGGGCTGCCCTTGTTGCATTAACACCACCCCGAGTCCGAACCCCGAAGCATCTGTTTCCACCACAAACTCCAATTGAAAGTCGGGCATCCTCAATACCGGGCTGTCGTCATGGCTGTTTTGAGGGCTGTAAAGGCGTGGGCTACCTCCTTAGACCACCCGAAATTATCCTTCATTAATTGTGAGGTGAGTGGTCCGGCGATTTGAGCATATCGAGACACAAATTTCCGGTAGTAACCCATGAGGCCTAGAAAACACCTTAGCTCCCTGATATTTTTCGGCTCTTCCAATTCTACAATGGCTTTCACCTTCTACATATCCATAGCTACCCCTTTCTCCGAAATCACGTGACCCAAGTAAGCCACTTCTTTCCCGAATTCACACTTCTTCCAATTTGCATACAATTTATGCTTCCTCAACAACTCCAATACTACTCTCACATGTTCCTTGTGCTCACCTTCATCTCTACTATACACAAGGATGTCATTGAAGAACACCAAGACAAATTTTCTCAAGTAAGGTTTAAATATCTCATTCATGAGAAATTGGAATGTTGTCGGTGCATTGGTTAATCCAAAGGGCATTACAAGAAACTCGTAATGTCCTTCGTGTGTGCGAAATGCCGTCTTATGAACATCTTCCGGTTTCACCCTTATTTGATGGTAACCGGACTTCAAGTCCAATTTCGAGAACCACCTAGCCCCATGCAATTCATCAAGTAACTCATCTATGACCGAAATTGGAAATTTATCCGGCACGGTCTCTTTGTGCAACGCTCTATAGTCAACACAAAACCTCCAACTTCCGTTGTTTCGGGGTTTTTTGATGTCCTGCGGGAGAGTTACAATTCTGAGACTGGAACCGGACGCCTGTACCTGCAAAACAAACGGATGCTCCGGATGATTGGAGATCCGCCTCCAACGGTCAAGTTAGTACTTGATTAAGGAGTAATTAATGCGGAAAATAATGTAATTTAGTCTCTCTAGGTGAGAGTGTTTTATGTGCGTAAATCCCCTTAATGAGGATTAATGGGCATATTTATATGCCTTGGGATGTGTGCCAATACCTAGGTTTAGGTTAAACCTAAGGCTGACTGGGCCAAATTTTGGGCCTTGTTGGCTGATTTACCCATTTGGCATGGATGGACACGTGTCGCGTAGCAGTTGGTCCATAGAGGACGTATCTCTGGTTGACACGTGGCAGGCTCCTATTGGCCTATGTGAAGGACACGTGGCGGAACCTGGTTGATCCACGTGTCAGACGGTGATTGGTGGATAAAAATCCCCTAATCATCCGTCCTTCTTCACAAGGATCACCGGGCTAGAGAAAGGGCTCGTGGATGGACGAATAATTCCGGCTTGTAGCATTTCAAGGAT